TGTGTCTCACATGGCCTTCTTCCCTGTGTCTGTGTCTCGCATGGCCTTCTTCCCTGTCTGTGTCTCACATGGCCTTCTTCCCTGTGTCTGTGTCTCACATGGCCTTCTTCCCTGTGTCTGTGTCTCACATGGCCTTCTTCCCTATGTCTGTGTCTCGCATGGCCTTCTTCCCTGTGTCTGTATCTTCACATGGCCTTCTTCCCTGTGTCTGTATCTTCACATGGCCTTCTTCCCTGTCTGTATCTTCACATGGCCTTCCTCCCTGTGTCTGTATCTTCACATGGCCTACTTATAAGGACCCCAGTAATTGGATTTACAGTCTGCCCTAATCCAGTCTGATTTCATCTTAACTAACTCTATCTTCGAAGACTCTATTTCCAACTAAAGTCACATTCTGAGGTTCCAGGTAGACATGAAGTTTTGGGGGACACCACTCAACCCATTGCAGAACCCATTAGCAGTCACTTCCCATTCTTCAACTCCCCTGGCCCAGGGCAATCGTTAATCTACTTTCTGTCTCTTTGGATTTGTCTATTCTGAACTTTTTATATAAGTGGAATCATACAACATATGGTCTTTTGTGACTGGCTTCTTTCACTTAACATGTTTTCAAGATTCATCATGTTGTAGCATGAATCAGTACTTTATTCTTTATGGAATAAAAATAATCAGTCGTATAGTTATACATGTTTCGTTTATCCAGTCATCACTTGTTGGAATATGGGTTGTTTTCACTTTTTGGCTCTTGTAAATAGGGTTACTATGAACATTTGTGTACAAGTTTTGTGGGAGCATATGTTCTTAATTTTTTTTTTTTTTTTTTTTTTTTTTTTTACTTACAGAAGTAATACATGTATGTCACAAGAAGTTATCCTCGAATTTTTTTCCATAAGAAATCATTTTAGATAGGAAAGAAAGAAGGCTGGGCACAGTGTCACCTGTAATCCTAGCACTTTAGGAGACTAAGGCAGGCAGATAGCTTGAGGCCAGGAGTTTGAGACCAGCCTAGCCAACATGGCAAAACCCCGTCTCTACTAAATATGCAAAAATTAGCTGGGCATGGTTTCACATGCCTGTAATCCCAGCTACTTGGGGGACTGAGACACGAGAATCGCTTGAACCTGGGAGGCAGAGGTTGCTGTGAACTGAGATCTCGCCACTGCACTCCAACCAGGGTAACAAAGTGAGACTGTCTCAAAAAAAAAAAAAAAAAAAAAAGAGAAAAAACAAATAGCGGAAAGCCAGAGTCTCCAATATTCTGATTTGATCAGTTTCTTTTGCCTGACCCCAAATCTCACTTTTAGGACAGCAGTTTGGATACTTGGGCTGGCAGGAGCTTTTATCCAGAGGATGATGCATCTCTCTCCTCTATGAGACCTTACTTTAAAGGATAAAGACATATTAAAATGTAAAAGGATTAATGTCTTTTTATTCCTAAATTTTATGGTAAATTTGCACCCCCCGTCCCCCAAAAAAAACCCTAAATGTAAATAACAACAACAAATTTAGACTTCAGAATAGAGACTAGAAGAACCCTTGAAGGCTCCGGGCGTGGTGGCTCATATCTGTAATCCCAGCTCTTAGGGAGGCATAGGCGGGAGAACAGCTTGAGCCCAAGAGTTAAAGACCTGCCTGGGCAATATAGCAAGACCCCGTTCTCCACAAAAAGGAAAAAAATAAAAAAATAAAAGGACAAAAAAAAAAAAATAGAAAAACCCAAAGGCTAGGGACTAAAGGCAGCTTCGCTTTGGACTGTACCTGTTTTTTCAGGAGCTAAAAGTGGTGCTGAAACATCCAGCATCCTACATTTTATTTTAATCTCTTAAAACCCAAGTTTAAAATCTCATCTATGCCTTAAAATCACATCTCTGCAATCTTGGCAGGTGCTCAAATTTCATACATTTATAAAATATGTTTTTACTGTTTCTTTTTTATTTCTAACAGCAGGTGAAAGGATTTTTTATTTTACTAATGTTTCTTAACCTATTTTTGGCTGATGACTGCTTCTAATTTTTAAATACATTTTCTTTTTTGAACTTGTTACAGACATTTTTAAATAGTCACAAATATAGACTAGCACAGCAGACTCCCATGAACCGTCACCCAAACTTAGCATACATCAGCTTTATTGCTGCTCGTTTGATCTATTGCCTCCTCCCCTCCAACATTTTTTTCTTTGACCATTTAAAGCAAATCCTAACCTTCATATTCTACCCAAGAGAATTAATATCCTTAATACCTAATATGTAGTCTGCTTAGTTTTCTCATGTCTCAGAAATGTCTTTTGACTATTTATTTGTTCAAAATAAAATCCGAGTAAGAGCCACACTGTACATTTGATTGACAGGTTTTTTGTCTCTTTAAATCTATAACAGTGGCCGGGCGCGGTGGCTCAAGCCTGTAATCCCAGCACTTTGGGAGGCCGAGGCGGGTGGATCACGAGGTCAAGAGATCGAGACCATCCTGGTCAACATGGTGAAACCCCGTCTCTACTAAAAATACAAAAAATTAGCTGGGCATGGTGGTGCGTGCCTGTAATCCCAGCTACTCAGGAGGCTGAGGCAGGAGAATTGCCTGAACCCAGGAGGCGGAGGTTGCAGTGAGCCGAGATCGCGCCATTGCACTCCAGCCTGGGTAACATGAGTGAAACTCCGTCTCAAAAAAAAAAAAAAAAAATCTATAACAGTTACCCTTTCTCTGTGTTGAAAGGTGGGGTTTTTGTCCTGTAGAATTTCCCACATTTTGTATTTCACTGCTTATTTCCTCCCAGTGTTGTTTAAAGGTTCCTGTCTCCAGTATTTCCTACAAATGTGCAGTTACACATAGAGGCTTGATTAGATTCAGGTGCAGTTGATCTGACATGACTACTTCCTGAGTGACTCTGCATCTTTGTTTTGCATCGTATGGAGAGGAATATAACATCTGGTGGTTCTACTTGCTGTAATTGAGCAGTGGGGATCTGTGGTATCAGTCTGGTCTTTTCCACTGTAAAGTAACCCACCACCCTTCCAAACCTGATGATTCTAGCAGCCATGTCAGGGGTCCCTGAAACCACCCTTATGTTTGATGATTCATTAGATGGACTTACAGAACTCAGAAAAGCTCTGTTACACACATCATTTCTGTTTATTTTAGTGAAAGGATACAGAGTAAAATCAGCAAAAGAGAAGATGCATGAGCAAAGTCCAGTGGAAAACAAAACACAAGCTTCTAGTTGTACCCTCGGTATGAACCTTGCATGTTTGGTTCTTTGACATGGGAGGGGGACCTTGCTCCCTTGGTAGAGAGATTGTTCCTCCCAGGGCTAGCCAATTCCTGGAAACAGAGTAAATGACTCACCTATTACTGTTCATTTCCTGTGTAAACCAACCAATCTGGAGCCCATTCCCCAACCTCTCCTTTACAGGACAGCTCATACTCTGGGCCGATATCTCATACTCTGGGATATCCACCTGCCCCAATCACCCCAGGGCCAGATACAGCAAGCTAGGGACAGCCCCTAGTCTCCAGAGCCTGCTGAAATTATTCAGACTTGCCAGTCTGCTTACTTGGCCTTGCCCCTTCCTTCCCATGGAAATCACAAGGCTCTTATTCCACTTTATCCCCTCATTCCCTCTGCCTCCTCACTGACCCTGGGCTTCCCAGTGTGGCTCCCTGTGGCATGCCGTGCCCCTCCCGGATCTGTGAGTATAACAAGTTTTCTTGTCAATGACAGTCACCTGATCTTAAAACCTATATTTTTATATTTTTTTAGAGACAGGTGTCTTGCTGTATTGGCCAGGCTGGTCTCGAATGCTTGAGGTCAAATGATCTTCCCACCTTGGCCTCCCACAGTGCTGAGATTACAGGTATGAGCCACCACGTCGGGCCACCCAAAGCCTATATTTTAAAACATTCCTCCAATGGTGTTGCACAGACAGCACTAAGTCCTCCCAGCAATGATGTATGGTAGTACATGCCAGGTGTTGCCAATTATAGAAGCTCACCCTTGGATGCTGCTAACGTCCCATGATGCACGGGACAACTGCCTCGTCCCCACCCCCACTCCCTGCGAAGAATTATCTGGCTCAAAATGTCAGTCATGCTGAGGTTGAGAAACCCTGCTTCTAACAATTATGTTTTAAAGTCACTTGAAGTAGTTCTTCTCTAGTTATTGCTCCAAATCTATACATAATTTTACTTTACTTTCCGTTTTTAGGGATGCTTTTTAAAAATTATGTACAAGGACTGTATGACTCCAAAGTTGAAACTAGTTTGGTTTTGTTTGTTTTTTAAAAAATAGAGACAAGGTCTCAATATGTTGGCCAGGTTGGTCTTTAATTCCTGGCCTCAAACAATCCTCCTACCTTAGCCTCCCAAAGTGCTAGGATTACAGGCATGAGCCACCACGCCTGGCTAGAACTAGTTTTCTTTGATGAAAGGTACATTCAAGAGAGGTCTTTCATCCTTGTCCCCTCCCTGGTTTTTTCCATCCTTCTAGCAATAGCCGTTTTTATTAGTTGTTGGCATATTATATATACAACAATTTGTACTTTTGCCACTGCGTCTTTCAGATAGTCTTAGAAATAGGATTGTTGGGTCAAAGATTAAATAAATATATAATTTTGCTTGCTTTAAATATATCTTCTAAGTTCTATTTCTAAATACAATCAATGCAAAGAAACCAAAGCACAGAACAGCATTACAGCATGCCATTTCTGTTGAAAAAGCATGAAAGAGGCCAGGCACGGTGGCTCACGCCTATAATCCCAGCACTTTGGGAGGCCGAGGCAGGCAGATCACCTGAGGTCAGGAGTCCAAGACCACCCTAATCAACATGGAGAAACTCTGTCTCTACTAAAAATACAAAATTAGCCGGGCATAGTGGTGCAGGCCTGTAATCCCAGCTACTCAGGAGGCTGAGGCAGGAGAATCGTTTGAACCCAGCAGGCAGAGGTTGTGGTGAGCTGAGATCGTGCCATCGCACTCTAGCCTGGGCAACAAGAGCCAAGACTCCCTCTCAAAAAAAAAAAAAAAAAAAATTATGTAACTGTTTCACTTGTGTATACTGAAGTATCTCCGAATAGACTTCCAAGAAAACCAGTCATCAAACAGGAAAAAGGATGGCTGAGGTCTAAGGAGTGTGAGGGAGATTTTTAGTGAATACCATTTTAAAATTTTGAACCATATTAATATAGGTCTATTTTTTCTTTTTTTTTTTTTGAGATGGAGTTTCACTTTTGTTACCCAGGCTGGAGTGCAATGGCACAATCTCGGCTCACCACAACCTCTGCCTCCTGGGTTCAAGCAATTCTCCCGCCTCAGCCTCCTGAGTAGCTGGGACTACAGGCGTGCGCCACCATGCCCAGCTAATTTTTTTTGTATTTTTAGTAGAGACGGGGTTTCACCATGTGGACCAGGATGGTCTCAATCTCTTGACCTCATGATCCACCCACCTCGGCCTCCCAAAGTGCTGGGATTATAGGTGTGAGCCACCGCACCCGACCAGGTCTATTTTTTAAATAAATTTTTTAAGCGAAATAAAAATTAATGGAAAAAGGTTTCTCTATTTTAAACTGCATTAACACCAGAAAACACGTAGAGGCGATGTTGTATAGGGACGAGGAAGCTCTCACAAGGCTGCTTTAGGCTGTGCTGCACTTAATTTCACACAATTACTGTCTTCTGGAATTTGGCTCTTTCAGGGAAGTTTATACTTTCAGCAGCATTGCTGCTTATTCTGTGTCCACAAGTGGGTTCTAATGTTATGACTGTGTGCATAATTTGTATTTTTTTCATAATTTTCAAAACTTGGCTAGATTTAAATAATTGTGTGTATAGATTTCATGTGGTCATTTCTGCGTAGGGTTAAATGCCTTGTTTTATGGAGTTTATCAGTGCCAAGCATGAGCTCACTGTCTGGGGAAACAAGGCTGCTATGGAGATAATGACCAACCCTGGCTGTTTGGAAGAAATGCAGGCCCTGTCTGATTTGGTAGTGTCTATGGCTGGGGGAAAGCTGCCTCCACCTGCACCTTGGCAAGACTTTTTGGATTTAGGACAGTGTGCTGAGCAAGCCTTAGCCAAAATTTTCCAGCTCCTAAAATCCAGCTCCCTTCCTGGCTAGTTAAATGGCTTTGGACAGTGTTATCTTTTAACTGCCACTGCCTCCTGAGATGGTGTCTGGGAAAGCCAGAGGAGCTGTTAAAATGAGTCCCACTGCAGCAGAAAGGCTATTGAAACCAGGAGACAGCTTCCAACTGGAAAGATACTTAGTATATAAGTGCTTACTTTCAAGGGCTCAAACAGCTCTTTTCCATAGGTAGCTATCCTGAAGGAATGGTTGGATACAGAAACAGCCAAGGAGGCAGATATTTTAGACAAAGCACATTTATTTTCCAGAAAGAGTAGTTTTTTTAATACCCCATATTGAAGAATCATTGCTGGCCTTCACATCCTATAAACGTGAATCCTTTTATACCTAAATGTGTCTGTACTGGGGCGGAGACTGACTTGCCTGTAACATTGTCCAGATGAACCCAAAACAGATCTTTGTACCTGTGGTCCAAAAGTGGTAGGAAAATTCTGTAAAGATCTAAGGGCTTCAGGCAAAGTTGTTTGAATTCAATTTTTATTTCTTAAAACTGGGGACCCAAAATGAATTAAAAGGTATATCAGATGAGTGGTTGTTGCCTGATGTGGTGGGGGAGGGGACGCAGGCGATTGAGTAGAAAGAAGCACAGGAGCACCTCTGGGCGATGGAAACTTCCAGTGTTTTGATTGGAGTGTTGATTATATTGGCATAAACAATTTGTTCACATTAAGTCTACACGTAAAGTTTGTGTACTTTATGTAATTATACCTCAGTTTTAAAACGTAAAGAAACAAAAACATGGTCCTTATTACTTGGTGTAGTAGAATAAAAGTGGGCCTAGATACTCAAGCAATTATTTCCAGTTCTGCCACTAACTTCTATGTGAATATGGGGAATGTATTTAACCTCTGCTTATAACCTCTCATCTGTCCTACAAAATTAGATTGTCACATTTAGGATGCTCAATTTTTTTCAACTGTTATGAGGTAGAATTGTCATAAAAATTATTAATTGGATAAATAATACAAAGAGAAATTTTCTCTAGGAAACTGCCCATTAATGCTGTGACTACATATGACCTTAGTCATGTTGGTGACAAGGGAGGGATGGAAATAACTTTTGTCTCAATCTAGTAACCTGGGCTCTGAATTTTGGTGTAGATTTTTTTTGCCCCTCATTCATATGAGCCAGTCGGGTTAGGCATTGGCTTTTAGAACAAGCCTGTCCAGCACTCCTTTTCAGTGACCAAAGGCAGGAAAATGTCTGTGTGGGAGGAAAGGGAGTGGCCGAAAGTCACTCCAAGTGGGGACCCAGGCTGCCAAATGTTGGTCTCTGTACTTGGGCTCAGCTCCCGAAGAGGAAGAGCTCACAATGGAAACAGTGATGGCTGTTTTCTCAGGCAGCCAAGAGAATGAAAAGCACATTGAAACTCAGCAGTGTCTCCACGGGAGAGGTGCGGTGGGCCCTTTGCTGGTACAACCAACCTGACAACAGAGCAGGATCACAGTTCCCTTTCCCAGCATCTTTCTTCAGTTCAACAAGACCCTTCTGTGCAACCTCTCAAGAAGTCTCTGGGAAATGATACTGTGGGCGGTATTACTAAGCTTTACCCAACAGTAGAGGCACACTCAGTCCAGTTCACCCATTTGCTCTGAATTCGATTTTGTTGACTGAAAGAAAAGAGCTTTTCTAAATATAAGTGTCAGGACCTGCATCCCCTGACCCAAGGTTTCATCAACTTCTCTGTTTATTGCTGCCTCTTGTGAACCATTTTGACCTCCAGTGAATGCCTTTTCAGTTGGCATTTTCATGCTGTACTTTTGTTACTCAACTTACCCAGTGCCACTGTGAATGTCCTTCTGTACTAACAGTCAGTAACTGCTGGGCTGTGAAGCCAGCTGACAGTGGGAGAAAGCCGCCTTGGGGTGATGGATTGGCAAGGGCAGTTTAAACTGGCTCCAATGACAGTGTTCACTCACCTATGCTAAAGCAAGTAGGTGGTGCAGCCTGGCTCTGTGCCTCCCTCATGAAAGATGAGAGCTACTATGGTCTGAATGTTTGTGCCTCCCGCCAGATTCCTATGTTGAAATCCTAACTTCCAAAATTATGGTGTTAGAAGTAGGGTCTTTGAGAGGTGATTAGGTCTTAGGAGCAGATGGCTGGGCACAGTGGCTTACACCTATAATCCCAGCACTTTGGGAGGCCAAAGCATGCAGATTACAAGGTCAGGAGTTCGAAACCAGCCTGGCCAACGTGGTGAAACCCCATCTCTACTAAAGATACAAAAAATTAGCTGAGTGTGATGGCACATGCCTGTAATCCCAGCTACTCAGGAGGCTGAGGTAGGAGAATTACTTGAACCCAGGAGGCGGAGGTTGCAGTGAGCTGAGATCACACCATTGTACTCCAGCCTGGGCGACAGGGCAAGACTCAGTCTCAGAAGAGAAAAAAAAAAAAAACAGAGCCCTAACCTCATGAATGGGATTATTGTCCTTATCAAAGAGACTCTGGAAATTCTTTACCTCCTGCACCATGTGAGGACACAATAAGAAGATGGCTGCCTATAAACCAGGAATTGGGCTCTCACCAGACACCAAATCACACCTGGATCTTGGACTTCCCAGCCTCCAGAATGGTAAGAAAGCTGTGCCATTTATTAACTATTTAGTCTATGGTATTTTGTTATGCAGCCCAAGCAGACTTAGACAATGGCCCATGTGGTTTAGCATTTTGCTTGCATTCACTTTGAGGGAATTATTTTCTAAAATAAATAGGCTGGGCATGGTGGCTCACACCTGTAATCCTAGCACTTTGGGAAGCCAAGGCAGGCAGATGGCTTAAAGTCAGGAGTTCGAGACCAGCCTGGCAAACATGGTGAAACCACGCCTCTATTAAAAATATAAAAATTAGCTGGATGTGGTGGCAGGCGCCTGTAATCCCAGCTACTCGGGAGGTTGAGGCAGGAGAATCTCCAGAACCCAGGAGGCAGAGGTGGCAGTAAGCCAAGATTGTGCCATTGCATTCTAGCCTGGGCAACAAGAGCAAAACTCTTTCTCTAAAATAAAATAAAATAATAAAATAGTCTAGACGAGGTACAGTAGCTCATGCCTATAATCCCGGCACTTTGGGAGGCTGAAGTGGGTAGATCACCTGAGGTCAGGAGTTCCAGACCAGCCTGGCGAAACCCTGTCTCTACTAAAAATAAAAAAATTAGCTGGGTATGGTGGCGCACCCCTGTAATACTAGCTACTCAGGAGTCTGAGGCATGAGAATGGCTTGAACCTGAGAGGCGGGGGTTGCAGTGAGCCAAGATCATGCTACTGCACTCTAGCCTAGACGCCTGAATGACAGAGACTCTGTCTCCAAAAAAAAAGCAAACATAAAAAATATTAAAACTAGCTGGGCGAGGTGGCTTGTACCTATAATCCCAGCTACTTGGGAGGCTGAGTCAGGAGAATCATTTGAACCCGGGAGCTGGAGGTTGCAGTGAGCCAAGATTGCACCACTGCACTCCAAGCTGACTGACAGAGCAAGACGGTGTCTCAAAAATAAATATATAAATGACAGTGTGTAAACTATGGTGTAATGGTCACAAACCCAGTATTTTCAGGAGTAGGAAACTTAAGGCAGGTGAAATGAACTGGAACCATTTTTGTTGTTCTAGCTAATTATTGCTAGATCCTCAGAATTTTTTCAGGAGAATCAAGAAAATTAGATATTTATGTACATGTGTGGACCACATTCAGACACAGGCCTTCAATTCTCACTGTCTGAACTAGCAAAATAAAGACGGGTTTTGGCATTACACGGAAGTATGAATTTTGGCGCCAGGATGTGCTAGTTGTGTGATGGTAGGTAGGTAACTTTATTCCCAAACTGTCAGTGTCCTCACCTTTGAAATGAGGGCAGCTCCACCCACCTGGCAGTGGGTTGCGATAGGTATAGGAAGGCTGTCTACCACACATGCAGTGACTAGCACTTAGGAAATTCCAGCTGAGGTCTCTCTGCCAGATTCTAAGTGACTCTTTCCAATTTGCTAGTGCCAATTCCCAGAGCTTTTGCTAATAATGTGACTGTCCTCAGGAGAAGCCCATTGGGCAGATGTTTGTGGAGTGTCTTGCCACGCTCCAGGTGTCTGTACACGTGTTTGCCTCCTCTGCACCATCCTACAACTGGAAGCAACAGCCTATCTCCAGGTGAAGGAACAAAGCTGTCAGTCACAGAGGTATATGCTGTCCTACCTAAACTGTGTGGCTTTGCTTCCTCAGTGTCAGCCACCAGGACTGGTTTTAGATGTGTCACACCATTATTGCATTGCTATAAAGAAATAGCTGACTGGGTAATTTATAAGAAAAGACATTTGGTTGGGTGCAGTGGTTCACACCTGTAATCCCAGCACTTTGGGAGACTGAGGGGAGGTGAATCACTTGAGGTCAGGAGTTAGAGAC